GCCGGCGGGGAGCCGGCGCTGACGTCTCTTCCCTCCCTCCTTCCCTCCCCACGGATCCAAACCCTCCCTTCCCTCCCTTCCCCGGGGTGGAAAAATCCCACAAAAAATAAAAATAAATAATAATAATAAAAACCTGAGGAATGGAGGAGAAAAAGGGGGGAGGGGAAGGGGAGGGAGAGAAAAAAAAGCAGGAAAAAAAAGGGAGATAAAAGAGAAGAGAAAAGAAAAAGAGGAACTACCTCGGTCGGGAGGTTTCAAGGAATGCTTTTGTTTGTAACTGTCTGAAACACAGAAAGAGAGTCGTGAGAGGACACGGACACGGGACGGACACACGGACACGGCACGGACACACGGACACGGCACGGACACGGGACGGACACGGGACAGACACACGGACACACGGACACGGGAGAGGCACAGCCACGGGGAGCAGGGAAAGGGAGAGGGAAAGGGAGGGAATTAAGTGGTGGGAGAGCAGCAAAAGAAGAGAGAAAAGTCACGGCAAAGCCTCTGGTCTGTCCTGGTTATCCCCAAAAAATTCCTGGATTTGGGGGGTTTTCCTCCCAAAAGTTCCTGGAGCTGACGGGTTTTCCTCCCTGGTTATCCCAAAGAATTTCGGGGGGTTTTCCTCCCAAAAAGTTCCTGGATTTGGGAGGTTTTCCTCCCAGAAGTTCCTGGATTTGGGGGGAGTTCCTGGAGCTGGGGGGTTTTCCTCCCTGGTTATCCCAAAAAGTTCCTGGATTTGGGAAGTTTCCCTCCCAAAAAGTTCCCGGATCTGGGGGTTTTTCCTCCCTGGTTATCCCAAAAAGTTCCTGGAGCTGGGGGGTTTTCCTAAGGTCTGGCCTTGGGAATCCCATCCTTTGGCCTTGGGAATCCAACCCTTGGGGATCCAACCCTTGGGAATCCCACCCTTTGGCTTTGGGAATCCAACTCTTTGGCCTTGGGAATCCTTTGGCCTTGGCAATCCCATCCCTGCTCCAAGGTTTTAAGCTCCCGCTGTCGGAATCCCGTGGCTCCAAACTCATTAAGTGGCTCTTTAACGAGGGCCGGGAACGGAATTGGGATCCAACGGGAACCCAAATCCATCGGGATCCAACGGGAACCCAAATCCATTGGGATCCAATGGGAACCCAAATCAATGAACCCAAATCCATCGGGATCCAACGGGAACCCAAATCAATGAACCCAAATCCATCGGGATCCAACGGGAACCCAAATCAATGAACCCAAATCCATCGGGATCCAGCAGGAACCCAAATCCATCGGGATCCAACGGGAAAGCCACCGGGAAAAGGGGAGAGAGAGAGGCCTGTCCGGCCCCCGGGAGGTTTTTTGGGAGCCTGGGAGAGGTTTATCCCCGTTTTTCCGGGCCGGGTGGTCGGACAGCCCTGGCTCCGGGCGGTTTCCGGGCGGGAAGGACTCCGATCCCGCCCTTTCCCGGCCGTGGGAATGTCTGGGCTGGCCGATCCCGGGGATTGGGGGTTGTGGGACTCACTGTCGCAGGCGTAGGGTTTGTCCCGGTCCTCCAGGATGGCGGCGTCCAACTTCTTCCGGGCCCCTCCCACGCCTTTGCCCTGGAAAAAGAGCCGTTGGAACCCCGCCATTCCCACCCAAAAAAGGCTCTAAATCCAAGATTTCCCTCAAAAAACTCCTCCTGGGGGGTCCGCGGGTGGTTCTGGGGTGTTCCCGGCCCGTCCCAGGGTGGTCCCGGGTCGGTTTTGGGGATCCCAGACCATTTTGGGGCATTCCCAGACCATTTTTGGGCATTCCCAGCCCATCCCAGGGTGTTCCCAGGTCATTTTTTGGGGATCCCAGGTCATTTTGGGGCATTCCCAGCCCATGCCAGGGGGTTCCCAGGTCACTTTTGGCCGTTCACAGGTAATTTTTGGGCATTCCCAGCCCATCCCAGGGTGTTGCTAGGTCATTTTTGGGGATCCCAGGTCATTTTTGGGCATTCCCAGGCAATTTTCGGGCATTCCCAGGCAATTTTCGGGCATTCCCAGGCAATTTTTGGGCATTCCCAGGCTATTCCAGGGTGTTCTCAGGTCACTTTTAGGCATTCCCAGACAATTTTTGGGCATTCCCAGGCAATTTTCAGGCATTCCCAGGCAATTTTCGGGCATTCCCAGACAATTTTTGGGGCATTCCCGGGTAATCCAGGGCAGGAAAAGCCGAGGCTCAGGGAAAATTGGGAGCTCCAAGGGTTTGGTGGGAAGGAGCAAGGCCGGGATCCGGGATCCGGGCTCAGTGTGATCCAACAGCACCACGCAGTGGGAAGGGCCTGGAATGGCCGTGGGGTGGGAGAACAAATCCCTGGGGATGCTCCCGGGGCCCTGCCCGGTTCGGGAAGGGGCAGATCCACGAGGAATCCCGGGGGTTTAACGCTCCTTAGGGAGAGTTATCCCGGCTCCAGGGGGGGGGTTCCTGCCCATCCCGCTTTTCCTCAATCCCGGGATGGAGGGGGGGAGCTCTGGGAGGTCTCAGGGATTTGGGGAACCCCCCAGATCCGGGGGATTTTCCAAGGAATCCTCACCTTGGCCTTGCCCTTCCCTCTCCTCTTCGGCGTGTCCTCCTCGTAATCCTCGTCGTCCAAGTCGTCCAGGAAATCATCCGGCTCCAGGATCCGCTGGGACAGAGGGATGGGGGTTATTCCCATTTATTCCCACCAAATCCCACCCAGGGATTGAGGGAAAAGTGGGAAAAGCACCGGGCAGGGAGGTGGGTCAGGGGAGAGCAGATCCCATTCCAAGGGCTTCGGGAAGGAGGAAGAGGAAGGATGGGAGGTTTTTGTGGGATCTGGGAGGGCTCATCCCCAAAAAAAAGCCATGGAAGGGCTCCACAGGGTGGGAAAACCACGGGATAGGAACAACAACCAAGGAAAAGGGAAACAAGAAACGAGGTTGGGAAAAGATTCCGGGCTGGAAGTGCTGTGGGAGAGCCCAAGAAGAGGAAAAAAACGTGGAATGTTGGCCAAACCCTGGGAATGTCGCACGCCCGGGGAGGGTTTCCAGGGAATTTGGGAGCCTGGGATATCTCCCCTCCTTGGAGCACTTGGATAACGAGGGAATGGGAAGAAAATCAGGGAGTCTTGGGATGGGAAGAGACTGGAATTTCCCTCTCCCTGAATTTTGGCATCAGGATCCCCTTCCCACTGAATTTTGGGACCAGAAACTCGCTGTCCCCGAGTTTTTTCCTTGGATTTTTTTTATCCCAGAAACTCCCTCTCCTCGAATTTTTTCCTCGGATTTTTTTTTTTATCCCAGAAAACTCCCCTCCCCGAATTTTTTTTTTTGGGCCAATAAAATTCCCCTCTCCCTAAAATTTCACCTCCAAAACTTCCCTCCCCTCGAATTTTCCCCCTCTTGGATCTTCCCCCTTCCCATGATTTCATTCCCCTTCCTTATCCCTCAAACCCCTCCCGAGCCCTCGTGCCGGGGAGGAGCTGGAGGGGGGGAGTGGGAAGGGCTGGAAAAGCCGAGCGCTGGGTGTTCCATCCTGGGATTCCCCCCCGGAATTCCCAGGAAAAGGCACTCCTCCCGGGATTCCCCCCGGAATTCCCAGGAAAAGGCACTCCTCCCGGGATTCCCCCCGGAATTCCCAGGAAAAGGCACTCCTCCCGGGATTCCCCCCGGAATTCCCAGGAAAAGGCACTCCTCCCGGGATTCCCCCCGGAATTCCCAGGAAAAGGCACTCCTCCCGGGATTCCCCCCGGAATTCCCAGGAAAAGCACCTTCCTGGCGCGGCTGTTGGCGACGGGGAACTCGCCCAGGCTGTCGTCGTCCATCCGGGGGTCCGGCAGGGAACGTTTCTCCAGAGGGTCCGTCCTCAGCAGGGCCTCCAGGCTGCTCCCGTCCTGGGACAGCAGCCCTTCCTTCTTCAGGCTCTGATCCGTGTCTGGGAATGGGGGAAAACATGGAAAAGGGGAGGTGGGAATGTCGGGAGGGGGGAGACGGTTCCGCCGCGTCCCGGTTTGGTCACCGGGATCAGGATTTGGGAATGGGGAGGAGCTGCCAGGAGGATCCCCCGGATCCAGGGAGACCATTCCGGAGGATCCAGGAGGGACCCCAGGGAAGGGACCCGGGTTGGAGCAGTTCCTGAAGGATGGAAAAGGACCTGGAGCAGCTCCTGAGGGACTGATCCCATGGAAAAGGACCTGATCCCATGGAAAAGGACCTGGAGCAGCTCCTGAGGGACTGACCCCATGGAAAAGGACCTGACCCCATGGAAAAGGACCTGGAGCAGTTCCCGAGGGACTGATCCCATGGAAAAGGACCTGACCCCATGGAAAAGGACCTGGAGCAGCTCCTGAGGGACTGACCCCATGGAAAAGGATGGACCCCATGGAATATGGACCTGGAGCAGTTCCTGAGGGACTGATCCCATGGAAAGGGACCCATTTCCATCATCTCCTGCCGGTGCCTAGGCAGGGAATTCTGAGGAAAGGGGCCGGGAATTCCCATGGAATTTTGGGAATTACCGGGTTTGATGGAGGGGAACGCCAGCCGGGAATTGCCCTGGAATGTTGGGAATTACCAGGTTTGATGGAGGGGAATGCCAGCCGGGAATTGACGTTGGGATATACACAGTATTGCATGGAAGGAATGCCAGCCGGGAATCCTACGGGGTGGGACAGGGCAATTCCCAGGGAATGTTGGGAATTACCGGGTTTGATGGAGGGGAATGCCAGCCGGGGATCCTCCGGGGGGTGGGACAGGGAATTGCCCTGGAATGGGGCTGGGAATTGCCCTGGAATGTTGGGAATTACCAGGTTTGATGGAAGGGAATGCCAGCCGGGGATCCTCCGGGGGGTGGGACAGGGAATTCCCAGGGAATGTTGGGATTTACCAGGTTTGATGGAGGGGAATGCCAGCCGGGAATTGCCCTGGAATGTTGGGAATTACCGGGTTTGATGGAGGGGAATGCCAGCCGGGGATCCTCCGGGGGGTGGGCGCGGCGTTTCTTCCTCCAGCGCCGCGCCGGGTACGAGTAGAGCTGTCCCGCGGCCAGGCCTGGAAAACACCGGGAACGATCCCAAAATATCCCCGGGGGGGGGACAAAACAACCCAAAACAACCCAAAGCTGCTCGAGGAGGTGACAGAACACCCCAAAATCAGCCCAAGGGGTGACACCCCCCCCGTGTCCCCCTCCGTGTCCCCTTCCCGCCGCGTTTCCCGGTGTTTCCCAGGGTGCGTCTCCCGAGGTCTCGTTTCCAAGGTGTTCCCGGTGTTCCCGGTGTTTCCCAGTGTTCCCTGGGTGTTCCCTGCTTCCCGGGTGTGTTCCCGGTGTTCCCCAGGTGTGTTCCCGGTGCTTCCAAGGTGTTCCTGGTGTTCCTCGTATTCCCCAGGTGTGTTCCCAGCATTTCCCAGGTGTTCCCATTATTTCCCAGGTACATTCCTGTTGTATTCCCTTGTTCTCCCAGCGTCCCCAGCGTGCTCCTGCCGTTCCCAGGGTGTGCTCCTGCTGCATTCCCGGTGTGTTCCCTCGTTCTCCCAATGTTCCTGTTGTATTCCCTTGTTCTCCCAATGTTCCAGGTGTGTTCCCTTGTTCTCCCAGTGTTCCCAGTGTGTTCCCTTGTTCTCCCAGTGTTCCCAGTGTGTTCCCTTGTTCTCCCAATGTTCCAGGTGTGTTCCCTTGTTCTCCCAGTGTTCCCAGTGTGTTCCTGTTGTTCCCAGGTGTGTTCCTGCTGTACTCCCATTGTGTTCCCGGTGTTCTCCCACTGTCCCCAGTCGTATTCCCGGTGTGTTCCCATTGTCCCCCCCTGTATTCCTGCTGTATTCCCACTGTATTCCTATTGTTCTCCCACTGTGTTCCCATTGTCCCCAGCTGTATTCCCAGTGTGTTCCCTTGTTCTCCCAATGTTCCCAGTGTGCTCCCATTGCTCTCCCACTGCGTTCCCACTGTCCCTGGCTGTATTCCCGCTGTATTCCCACTGTATTCCCGTTGTTCTCCCAGTGTGTTCCGGCTGTCCCCGGCCACATTCCCAGTGTTCCCACTGTATTCCCATTGTTCTCCCACTGTGTTCCCACTGTCCCCAGCTGTATTCCCACTGTCCCCAGCTGTATTCCCGCTGTATTCCCGCTGTCCCCGGCCGTATCCCGGCGTGCTCCCGTACCGGGCCCGCGGTGCCGTTTCTCCATCCAGATGTAGCAGTTGCTCTGGGCGACGCCGGTCTGGGAGTCGAGGAAGGGCAGGCGGACGCTGCGCTCGGCGCAGAGCCGGGCGTTGTAGCTGTGGCACTGCTCCATGGCATCCCGGTAGTACTGCTCCCCCAGCCTGGAAAACAGCGGGATCAGTGCCATTCCCATCACCCTGATCCTCATCTCATCCCTGATCCAGCCCCAGAGCCGGGCGTTGTAGCTGTGGCACTGCTCCATGGCATCCCGGTAGTACTGCTCCCCCAGCCTGGAAAATATCGGGATCAGCCACATTCCCATCACCCTGAGCCCCATCCCAACCCCAGAGCCGGGTGTTGGAGCTGTGGGACAGCAGCGGGATCAGTGACATTCCCAGCAGGATCAGTGACATTCCCAGCAGGATCAGCGACATTCCCATCAGTGCCATTCCCATCACCCTGATCCCCAACCCAGCCCTGATCCAGCCCCAGAGCCGGGTGTTGGAGCTGTGGGACAACAGCAGGATCAGTGACATTCCCAACAGTGCCATTCCCATCACCCTGATCCCCATCCCAGCCCTGATCCAGCCCCAGAGCCGGGTGTTGGAGCTGTGGGACAGCAGCGGGATCAGTGACATTCCCAGCAGGATCAGTGACATTCCCAACAGTGCCATTCCCGACAGCCCGATCCCCATCCGGACCCTTCGGGGGTCACGCTCGGAGTGTGTCAGGGATACAAGCGGAGAGAGTCGGGGATACAGCCGGAGACACCCCGGGATACAACCGGAAATCCTTGGGGATACAACCTGGGAATATCAGGACTAAAACTGGAGACCCTCGGGAATACAACCAGAGACACTCAGGGACAGAACCAGAAACAGTCAGGGATACAACTAGAGACACTCAGGGATACAACCAGGGAATAATCAGGATTATTAATAAACTCAGGGATACAACCAGAGAGGGTCACGCAGGGAATGGACAGGGAATTACAGGGAATTACAGGGAAGGGAAGAGATGGAAGCACAGGGATGGACAGGGATAGAAAGGGATGGAATGGGAAGTACAGGGACGCACTGGGGGGATTCCCCCAAAACTTGGTGTCTCCAGAACCCTCTTCCCGGGATGTGGGGGGGAAATACAGGGAAGAAACACGGGAATGGCCAGGGAATGGCCAGGGGATGTGTAAGGAAGAGCAGGGATATCCAGGGATATCCAGGGATACCCAGGGATGACTCCCCCGCCCTTGGCCTCTCCAGGCCACTCTCCCAGGGAACTTTAGGGATCCACGGGAGGTTCGGGGAAGCGCCGGGACACAACACAGGGATTTTTAGGGATGTTCAGTGACGTTCCCCCCCCTTTGCCCTCTCCGGGACCTTCCCACAGGCCGCCCCCGGGGGTCCCCCGGGCCCTCGGCCCGCCCGCCCCAGCCCTCCGCCGGGCGCCGGGGGTTGTTTTTAGGGACGCTCCCCACAGGGGACCCGCCGGCACAGCCGCCCCCTCCTCCCCTCAGCAATTTCCCCCCTGAACAAACATCGCGCGTGTCCCGGTCCTCCCCCCCCCCCAAACCCCCTTCCCAGCACTGCCGCCGCGCGCGGGGGCCGGAGGGGGGGCCGCGGTTCCACGCGCGCCTGGGCGGGCCATCTCCCACCAGGGGAGGGGGGGGTCGGGTGATGTGGGGGGCGAAGGGGGACACGCACTCAACACTGGACCACATCTGAACCACCCGCCGCATCTTGCCCTGGCGCCGGGCACAGCGAGGGTCGCGTGCGCGGGAAGGGAGCGGGGAGGGAGGGGCACGGGAGACGGGGGAGCGACGGCGAAGCGCAGGAGGAGGAGGCAGTGGTAGGTGCGAGGGAGGGGCAGGGAGGGCGGGCGGGGATCGAGGGAGGTGTCGGCGGAGAGGGAGGGCGCGCTACTGAGCGCCACCCCCGCGCGGGCTGCCGCTGCCATCTGCCGGGGAAAAGGGCGGAAAATAGGAATGGAAAATGGGGGAAAATGGGAAAATTCTCCCTCCTGATTTTCCCGCTCCTCCTGTTTTTTTTTCCTCCCCCCTGTTTTGTGGGAATTTGCCTTTTTTTCCCGAGGTCAGCCCCGGGTCAGCCCTCCTGGTT